AGGATAATGGGTTAGTAGTTTTCTGGATCTATTCTTTTTCCCTTTTTTTGAAAAGGGGAACTATATCAGCTCTTTTCCAGTCCTCTGGTAGTTCCCCTGTGCTCCAGGATCTTTGAAAAATATAGTTCAGTGGTTCTGAGATCACATCTACCAGTTCCTTGAGAACTTTGGGTATAATCCATCTGGTCCTGGTGATTTGGACTCTTCTAGGCTGGGTAAGTGCTCACTTACCATTTTCTTGCCTATCTTAACTTGTGTTTCTAATCTTTTTTATGGTACTGTTTTTGATAAGTTGGACTGTTTGCTTTTATTATTTTTGACTGTGGTCACAAGCCTTAGTTCATTTTGAGCCTTAGCTTTCTTCACCTCATCTTTGCAGGCTCAGACTATTTGCTAATATTCTGCTTTAGTTATGTGCCCCTCTTTCCACTTTTATACTTGTCCCTTTAATCTTTCGATTTATTAGAGAATTCTTTATGCAGCCATGCTGGTTTCTTGTGAAAGCTGTTATTTTTCTTCTTTGTTGATATTGTGCTAAATTGGATTTTTATTATCTCACTTTTCAAAATTTCCCAAGCCTCTCTTAAAGTCCAAGACTCTAGTTGGACTGTTCTATTGCCATGTGCTTCCTACATACCTTAGCTGAGTTCTTATACCCTTTCATGGTTTCCAAAATTGTCATTCCTGATTTTATTGGTCAGTGTCTGTTGTTGGGTTAATCTCCTTCTCAATTCTGTCTAAAAGGTGTTAATATTTGTTCCAGGGGGAATCCAGTGTAAAATTATTCTATTGTTGTGTAACTTTTGGTGTTTCTATTCTAATTCTGTCAAGTCTAATTATCTGTCTATCCTTTTCCTGAAAAATGTGTGTCTATCTACAAGAGCCTTTTGAAGCTCAAGTTTGCTTGTGTAGGGAAATAATTTTCTCAAGTTACTTTCCTTATCCTATCACTTATTGGTGAAGCTACTATGAAACTTTTCTTATCCTAAATATATAAGCATTTCCCAATCTCTAAAACAATATGGTCTATTTTAGAATAAATGTTAAAGGCAGATTTTGTTTGCCTGATTCTTTAACAACTGCAGTATTAATGTCTTTTCAAAACTGCCTGCAAGCAACCCCCCCCTTCCCTCAGGTACTTCTCTTTTTCTTGTCTTTTGTTCTCCATACCATGTCTGCCTCTCCTGGGAGAGTCCACCCAGAAAGGTGGGGAAGACCTTG